TATAACAATCCAGTTCAATAAAGTTAAAGTACATTTCTGAATTCAGCCAGATTGCACTGAACCAGCGGTGGCTGTGTTTCCCCTCCATTCAGCTAATAGGTCTAATCCTGGCAAGTGTTTCACTAAAAGGCTCGTGCATCTGCCCCAAAGCAACGCCCAAGGGCAGGAAAGGCAATACCTCCACACCAGCAGCACAACTGCAGGCTGACTTCAAAGAGATTCTCGGGGCTCGGTGAGTCTCCAGTGTCTGTCCCCTGTCGCAGCGAAGGTGACACGTGTCACACTGACCGGGGTTTGTTTATGTTGTTGGATTTTCTTCTTTTAAAGCTGTTTAGTTCCCTGTTGTTTGTCCCTCACCCTGTGACCACAAACACACGTATAAACACACAAATGGACTCACACAAACATGAATGGTGAAATATCTCCATTCAGGTGCAGATAGACTGTAATGAAAAGTAGAGATTAGGAGAAAAGGCTTGAGCAGGACTACCTATTTTTCATTCTGTTGACTTCTTTTAGTTTAAGTTTTTACTTTATGTTACCTTCTACAGTACCAAAAACTTACACCATATAATTACACTGAAGTGTCAATTTTGTTTGTATGCCAAATATGTCACATAGAGAAATCTAAATTAATTATTTGAGAACAAGGGTAACAATATAATGACACCCATTCACGTTATGTCTGAACAATGAAGCCATCAGTTGAAGATGAATCGGGAGATATTTGTAGATTTGCAGATTTTATGCAGACTTATGTTGGCTCACAAGTAATGCAACAGGATCCTGAAGCTGTGTTTGTGACTGTGTACAAAAGCACCTGGACACTTAAAGCTCAGTTTCGACAACTGGTGTACACAACCACATTTGCACAAAAATACTACCACACAAACACACACACCTGTCAAGGGCTCAGGAGGATGAGGTCCTTTAAAGATGTTCTCAGAGGCACAGAGCGAGATTGACCCTGGCAAAACGAAAGGTCAGGATGAATGTCCCCTAGACTTCTCAGTGGTCTTATTCCCCCGTCACATACTCACACACACGCTGTCTGTCACCTCCCAGACGAGGCCATGACACTTTGGACACCTCTCGACGGGCAGTGCCTCCCTCTGCCTCTCTCTCTGACAGGTTGACATGGCACAGAGTGCTCGGACATCGATGGCTCTCGGACCAGAGGTTTGTTCTCTTTGCTGTGACCTCAGAGATGGATGCTAGTGTCATATCACCCTTCTCCCCCCACCGCAGTCAAGAAGTAGAAATAAACCCCTTTCAGAAAGTTATTCTTGATGCTTTTTAGGTACAAGTAATAGATTTCAATCCGTAACTGGTTATTTAATTGTCAACAGCTTTTATAGGGACTATTTCTATAGTTCCAGTGAAAAGGAAAAGAAGATTTTGTGCAGTTTTTCAACCGATGACATTTTATTTACTGACATATATTTAATGTAGTAGATTTGTAAGATTTCCACATACAGCAACGATAAATGCCAGATTCATGTGAACATATTGGCTGTTTTAAAGACTTAACTGGAGACCTTTTGTTTCATTCCCCCTTGTTCCTGCATCCACCATCACCTGCTGAACCAAATGCCACAACAGTTATCTTTAATATAGTAAACACACACTGTAAAGTGAAAACAGGGACGATTGTCAACTCCTTGCTTACAAAGCACGTTGGCATATTAAACAATAAAACCCAGATAAAGTTTGACCTTTGTACGTCTACAGTTTCCTGACATATTTTGAACATTTGGGAAAAGTCCTTAGTGAGTACAGTCAATGTGGAACCGAATGGCATGGCCTGTGCCCCATGACACACACACACACACGCACACGCAGGCGCTCTACATTGTTGTCCATTGAAAGTTCCATGTTCACTTCATTGTAAAAAAGTACATACAACTTCCTGTTTCTTTCTCATCCTTCCTCTTTCTCGCACACACACAAATAAAGGGGAAATTTTACAATGCTGATTTCTACTGTTTATTCCGAACAATAGCGGGGGGGCTCTGCCTATCCCGCTGGGTCAAGTCATGTCTTGTCAGACCCTGTATCCTCTTTCCATTGAGCGCTGAAGCTTAAGAGTGCCACAGGTGCCTG